AGGAAGAAAGCTTCTGGACAGAGCAGAGCATACTATATCCTTGTGTAATTACTACAGGGTAGCCCTGCTCTAACTAAAGTATGTGAGATGTTTCAGTGCATTACAGTGTGCGTTTGTGTTTATGTTCTGCAGGTTAGAGATGCTACAAACTGCCAGCAAAGCCTGGTATGTTCTGAGATTTTCCCAAGTAGATGCAGATAAAATAGTAGGACCTCCCAAAACGATGTTTTCATTAATGTACTTAATCAGTTAGCAGAAGAGACTTGAGAAAAGAGAAACTCTTAAAAAGAAACTCTTAAAAACAAATTAGAACAATTTTTTCCATGATTTTGAAGTTAAAAAAAAAAAAGTTTCATAATTACTAGAAAAAATTGATTTATGTACAGCTCATTCATTCCAGCCAATTTTTTCCCTAACACATTTCCTGTGTATGTAATGCACAACTCTAAACAGGCACCTTCATAGTATCTTGCTTGGAATTCAGTTGTATCCTATTCCTTTTCTGCTTTTCAGTCATGTTTTCTGTATTTTCCCAAGGTACTGGTGATTCCATTTTTTATGACATGCACAGTAATGTTCTTATGGAGGAGAATTAGCTTTGGCATTCTAGAGTTGGAAACGTTTTCCTGCTATTAAGCTGCATTTTGTGCATTCTTAATGTTTCCTGTGAATTAGTGTGAAATGAAACAACCAGGTGGACTTGGAAGAAGCTGGAAGAAAAAAAAAAAAAACACAACGCAAAAATTCTTTTTTTTTATTTTAAATAATTGTAATTATATTTTCATACTGATCTTTCACATTACGTTTTACTGCGGTGTAAATGACAGACTAACAGTATGAGGGACCTGTAGATACTGACATTAGTCTGATTGAAACAAATGTGTGTGCTAATGCAGACAACTCCCAGCAGCAATGACTCTTGGAAAATGGGTTCTTTGAACTAAGTTACAAAAATTGGGATGATATAATATAACCACTGACCACGTAATGGGTTTGACTGGAGAAAATGGATGCTGTTTTTCAGTCAAATTTTGTTCATTACAGTTCATTTAGTTTAAATCAGTGACACTAAGACTTTGAGCATCAAAGTGAATGGAACAATATGGAATACAGCATCATTCAGGTGGGAAGCAATCGTTCCACCTTTAAATGAAGAAATTCAGTATATGTGATGTGAGGAGTATTTGGGGAAAAAAAAAAGTCAGTCCACATTTGAAAGATTTACAGTAGTTATGTCAAATCAGAATTTTGTGCCAAGGCCTGACAGAATAACAACTGTGATTCCATTACTGTGTGGAAAATGATCAGGGAAGATGTAATGAGTCATTAATATTTTGTATTTTTTGACATTCAGTAAGAGCTAACTGTTTTTTGTTGAATGTCCTTACTATATATGCAATTTTTGGAAGATGCTGTGAAAGTCATCTTTCCTGTTTGCACATAGATGAAATTTTAGGAGGGATTCCAACAAAAATAATTCTACAAAACAAAACAAGACAGAAGTGAGGCATACACTGAGACTGAGAGCTCAATCCTGCTGTCTTGTCCTTCTTTGCCTTTGGACCTGCTGGCAGACAACCAAAAGCCACGGGGCAGGACACCAAGATCCATAGCTGTGGGCAGACATATTCTTCCTACATTCTTATTGCCTTCTTCACGTGCCTGATCTTGAAACATCACATTGCTAGGGGATAAGTGAAAATGGGCTGGAACTTGGCATCAGGCATTAGTGTGTGTGTGTGCTGCTTGCTATCCACTTTTCCAGCTACAGTTTAGAAAATATTTTCCCCCAGCTCACTTCAATGGAAATCCTGCTTCCTCATAAAGAGAAAAAGGTTTAAAATTCCATTAAAAAATACTAACAGTTTCTTTTTCCTGTGTAATTAGTGTATGCTCTGGATACAGTCTGGCTGCAATGCTGATGAATTAGACTGCCTTCAGACTAATCAAAGAGCAAAGCTGAACGCAGACACGTGCAGAGAACCATTGCCAACTAAGCCCACAGAATCCTCTGTAGGTTACTTTTTTGACCCTAGAGATGTTAGTTTCTTAATAATTAAAAGATCTCCCTTTTTTTCCCATTGTTTCACACTTCAAACCGAAATCTACATGAGGATTTCAACTCAAATTAGGAAGATAGTTCTGAGGGAAATCTTCCAGCTGCCCACAGTCCTTACATCTTGGTCCTCATCATGGAACTCATTGGAGCAAATGAACAGGATGGTTTTTAGAAATCAGCCTGAAAGCCATTCTTCTGGGATTTCAGACTACAGAGCCAGGCTACAGCGAGTCCAGGGCACACCCCAGAACACATACAGTGTGTGTCAGGTCCTTGGCATCAAATATTGTATGGTCCCAATCAATTCCTCCTGCATTGCACCGGGTGCTAATGTACCTGTGACAGCTACTGTGGCTCCCAGCAGCTACTCCTAAATACTGATTCTGTCATCCCAAAAGAGACACAGACGTGACAGATGTCTCATTTAGAGCAGCGCATTACACAGATTAATTCCTCTAGATGAAAAAGATCCTCGCTCCATTCTGTTAAATGTGATTTATATGCCTGTGATAAAAAGGTAATAGTAAAAAGTATGAAGTGATTGATAAAAATACATTCCCTCATCATTTTGCCACATGAATTCAAACACTACCAATGGACCACAAACTCCAGGACTTCCATCTGCCCTGCAAGTCTCTATGCATCTTCTCACATTTTCAAACAAGGTGAATTTCTGTTTTGCCAAGAAAGTTGAGGGATGTGCATCTGCCTCTTGCTCAACCTTCTCTACACTCTTCTTCCTTTTATCTTCTAGGAGAAGAATCTTGACATTTTATTATCAGCCATTATCTGTATACAGTTATGTATCTGCTTCCTGACTGACCCAAACTGAACACAGTGCAGAGCAACTGCCAACAGTTTTAAGGTTACTAATAATAAGTCCATTTTGCCCCATTAATGGCCATTTGAAACACTACCAGTGCTCTATTCACATATTTGCATATTGAAGCATCTCTTTCCAAGACAATGTGGGTTCCTACACTGCTGCACTCCCCAGACCCTGAAGCTCACAGCAGAAGTCTGATCCTGTGCACCACTGAACCTCAAGGCTGTGACCAACTAACCGTTTTAAGTGACTTTAAGTTGAGGTCTAAGGGCTGATGAAGTCTTGTGCCCTTCATTGCGAAGGGATATTCAAAGTCAGCTCAGTCACTCACTCAGAGTAACATCTCCCTTTTCCTTGAACATCTCCAGGGGCGGTGACTCCACCACCTCCCCAGGCAGCCTGTGCCACTGCCTCACCACTCTGACAAGAAATCATTCCTAACATTCAACCTGAATGTCCTCTCGTGCAACTTAAGGCCATTCCTACCACTGTTACTGGGGAGAAGAGACTGACCCCCACCTCATCACAACCTCCTTTCAGGCAGTTGTAGAGAGTGATAATATCCCCCTGAGCCTCCTCCTTGCTGTTCGAGTTGCACTGTAGCTTCCATTGCCAAGAAGCTCCAATGACTTTCTTAATTAGACAGTTAGAAATAAGTCCCATATAAGCAGCAGACATTTGGGATTGTGATTAACATGCCACATGTAAGCCTGCTATGTAATTTAAATGATGTGTAAGTCATAAATCCATAACTGCTTCTGTAGTCTGGAGGCTTCTTGCCAGCATTATGTTTGATAGCAGGCCAATCTATTTCTCTGACACTTGATTGCTTTTCCTGATCTGATAAGCTCTTCAAAAATCTATCCCAATCCACCTCCTTCTAATATGTAACAGAGCTTAAATAGAAAAATGCATGCCTATGTATAGATTATTTATGTAGGTGAAATTCTTTACAAAAAAACATAAGAAATGTCAGTGTTTAGAGCTTTTTCCTAAAACAAGCTAAGGAAATAGTTGCATTACGCAGGAACTGAGAAAACATTTCTTGTACACAACTACCTTGACATTAATTTATGAAAATGTATTGAATTTTAAATATTGAAAATACAGAGTCAATTGTACAGTGCAGAAAAATATGCACCAAGTTCCCTTTTGCCAAACATATAAATGTAAGGATCTAGAGCAAGAAGTCATGGAAAATTTGCTAAATCACAAAGACAAATCTTAATAGACATAACTAGCTGTGTAACAGTTCTGATGCAGAACAGACCTGTGCTCATGCTCTTGTACACAAATCACAACGGAGGTATTGTGACATCCCAGCTCCTCTTATTCTGTATTTGTGCAAGGAATGAACAGAAAGGATAATAGAGGTGTAAAGGAAACTCGGGCCACCACAGTATTCCCATAACGCTCAACATCACCAGCTCATTGCTGAGCTTGGGCTTTTTCTTTCCTCGTGATGATTTTCAATAACTATTCCTATCCCTGCTACCTACGGTGGAAATGACATCAGAATTCTGAAGAAACAAGGCCTTGGCTATTTGGCAATCAGCTGTAGCTGTTCCTTCACAGCCGCCCTGCCAAGGTGAGGGCTGAGCTCACACAGTGCTTTCCTGCCATCTGCTGGCATCGAAGGGTACAACTTCTACAGTGTGTAATTCTTTCAAGCTAAGCTGTTGTTTTTTAAGTTTCAGGTGTCATCTAGTTAAGTAACACGTACATAAGGAGTGAAATCAGTGACTGGAAGCAGTGTCAAAGCTCTCATTGATTAAAGGCTGCACTAATTATACTGTTTTCTATATTCACAAAAGAAAACAAATTCAATGTAAAAATGAGTTTGAGTTTCAATAAATTAATGATACTGAAACAATCTGAAGCGAGGTCTGAAATAGTGCCTTACATCTGCGTTATGAATTCAGCTATGTTTTTCGTTTGGAACACTTCAGTATTTTTAAATCATCTACTTTTTGAAGTCTGCCTGAAGAAGAAAGCAGCTGCATCTTCATTGTGACTCTCAGTGAGATCTGTGAGGTGCTTGCTCAAAGCTTACTTACTTCTCAAGCTAAAGGGATGTATGAGAATGCACTACTTTGGATTTCCTTCTGCTTTCAGGCTGGAGTCACCAACTCGGTCTCTGAGCATGGATGCTCCAAGAGGCATTAACATCAAAGCACAAGCAGGGAATATTGAAGCTCTTTCCCAGATGGACATCAAACTGCACAGCAGTGATGGTGTGGTGAGTGCAAGCCCTTCTGTTTCTACAGCTGTGGTTAGCAATAATGGATAACTTCAAATCTTTTCTCAAGTTCTGCTAATTAAGTTTCCGAGGTGTTGGGAGAGAGGATATTAAAATTAATGTTGCCAATGAGGAGATATTTACTTATGGTTGAGATTAAATAATACTATCAATTGGCATAATATTGTATTAAATTAGAGAAATTTCTTTTAATAAGATCCTGCTTGCACTCAGCTGCTCCATAGTGCCTGGATGTAGCAATCCAAGAGGTTCTCGGCCAGAGCAGAGCCCCAGTCCCACTGAACAAGGTACAAGGCTCTGCAGAAGGTATTCAGGTATATTCCTCAAAGTTGTTTACAATAAGGGTGGTGAGGCACTGGCACAGGTTGCCCAGAGAGGTGGTGGATGCCACATCCCTGGAGACAGTCAAGATCAGGCTGGATGGGGCTCTGAGCACCTGACATAGCTGTAGGTGTCCCTGTTCATAGCAGGGTATTGGACTAGATGGCCTTTAAGGGTCCCTTCCAACTCAAATGGTTCTATGATACCATGGAACTGGCTCAGCAAATCAGTTTCTTTTTATGGCACGCTTTAGTCCCATCCTTATCTTTAACAAACTCATTTGTCCTGCTTGCTCCCATGCAGCTTTTGCTCGATGCAGAAACAGTGAGACTGCCTAAGCTGCCCGAGGGTACAAGAGGAGGACCCGGGGTGTCCCAGGGACTGTATGAAATCTGCGTTTGCCCAGATGGAAAACTTTACTTGTCGGTGGCTGGCTTGGGCTCCACATGCCAGGAGTACAGCCGGGTCTGCCAATGAAGCACCACAACAGGCAGCGCACACCCTCGCAATTCCCAGTTTTATATTAATGCTAAAGATCATCGACTGAAGGTGGAATTTTCAGCATTTTAAAAACAAACAAAAAAAAAAAACCTGCTACTGAAGAAACAAACCTGTGTCTACAACTCTGGATTTCAGGGTGATGGGGGAAGAAGAGCACAATTGGCATTTCAACTTCAGAGGAGTAGCTTGACCCTGACGATACATTCTGGCAGTCACACTTTCAAAACAGCCTGACAGACAGCGTAAGGAATAATAAAAGGAGTGTTTTCTTGCTGAACTATTATTCAGTCGGATGTTTATGTAATTGCTAATATTTTTGAGCTCTGTGGGTTTTTTCTCTCACTACATGTAAATACTGCATTAGTGGGTTACATTAAATTGAGTGAACTACTTGAACTATTTGATAAGACAAAGCATTATTTGGGGGAATTCAGGCAGTGCCAACAAAAGGTCTATGCAATTTTGTTCTTGCAATAACACAGAATATGAAAGATGTGCTATTTGTATAAGTCTTGTGTAAAGGGTGTCAATTTGTTGATAGCTTTCTATTTTAATTTGGCAACATACATGCTGATTTGCTTATCACTAAGATTCACTAACCAGTGCAAAAGTTCCAGGAGTTATTTACCTTCCCGTGTCTTCAAAGTTTCTCACTGAAGTATGTCAGTATATTTTATAATAGCAATAGTTGTACTGCCTGTACCATCACACTCATTTTAAAACTCCTTTTTAATTTTAGCACATGCTAATTCAACAAGGCAAATTGCCAGCTTGACAGAAATAATTCTTAATGTGGCTCCAGGTTGTCTGCTGCAGGGAATCGTTTGGGCGGTGGGGGAAAAAAATCCTTTTGCAGCCCATGGGATTCAGTTATGAGGACTATTCCATTTCCATCTGCAGCTGTTGACTGATATCTCTGATGCTGTCAGAGTGGGACTCCACCACAAATGGGGAGAGTAAAAATACTCTTCATTCTTTTTTTTTTTTTTTTATATTAGGACTTTAGGTATCAAGTAAATGCTCACCAGAGCCGAGAAACCATTTATTGACCTTGGAGATAAACGAGACTGCAGACTCATTCCCCTGTACAGTGTTGCACTGAACACTAATAAATTGTTTGCACACCTCCAGATAGCAGAATTTGTATTTAATAATCTCATGGTATTTCAATGCCATTGATGCTGTTTTGTATACACTTAATATTCTCCCAAGAAGGAGCTGCTATCACATAGTGCCTTGGAGTCTATTTACAGAAATATTTTAAACCATAATAATTAGTAAACCACATAATACCCATCCTTCACAGAAAAGAAGCTTCATCTTTATGGCTAGAGAATCAGAACAAAAGAATGACCAAAATTTTGCCATTTTTTACACTTGGTGCTTCAGCTCTTCTGGAGAGTTGGAGAAATCAATGCTGATCTAGGATCCTAGACACCTAGAAAAGATTGAGCTGTAAAAAAAAAAAGCCCCCAGTTAACAGTATCCACTCATTCTGTAGTAAAACTTTGGGTAGTCCCTGCCTCAAGGGCTGCCTTTATCATTTGTCCAATGATGGTAATGTATAATGCTAAAATTACTTTTCACTAGCAGGGTGGAATCCTCAACAATTCATGCAAACTAGGAGAGCTTCAATGGGAAAAGATAGGAGACATGAGAGCTGAAATTTTGGGTCCATTTAGGCCAAGAAGGCAATTGAATTAAGGTCTCCCACATTCTGTGGAGAGTGCTCTGACTGCTAACATCATGCCTAAGGGCAAAGCAAGAAGCCACACACAGCTTCCATGCCTGAAATTCCTTTTGCCCAGGCTCAGGGATCTGTCTCCAGGATTGAGCCCAGGGCTCTTGTCTCTAAAGAGGGAAATATTTCCCTACTACTGAATAATGCAACTAAATCCTCAACTGAAACAGGCTTTAACAGAAACATGTCTTTGGCATTTCTTTAAAGTCAGTTTAAGTGGTTACAGCTCCACATACAAGTTCTTTCAGACCAAATTAAGAGTAGCCTTTGTTTATCCGTGGAATGGAAAATCTGTATAAGTAAAGGACAGCAATCCACTGCTAGAAAAAAAAAATTGGAGGACTGTAATATCTGTAAATAGCCCAACAGTGAAACAGAGACTAAAGTCCTCAGAGAGTTCAGTCACCATCTGGTTTCAGACATCCGAGTTTTCTCCATACCTATGATTCTTAAAGTAAGGACCATATATCCATTTCTGTGTGGTACCAAACTACTGCTCTACCAGTCTTAATCTCTAAACTTTAGCCAGAGACTGAAATTAAATGTGTTGTTCACAATCTACATATTCTGCTGCCCATGAAAACATAGCAATTTGAGTTACTCATTTTAAGCTTCTGCTTTGTGAGCACGTTTTCAAACATGAATTGCCACTTAATGCAGAGGAAGGGACTGGATCCAGCCTTTCCATGTTTCACAACAGTAACCTAATGCCTAAAATGCTGGGTGTTTGGAAGCAATTTCTGTTACAACTTTGTCCATTGAAGTTGTTCTAAGTTAACACTTACAAAGCTGTGGTGTATGGCATGCCATTCCCTGGCTAAATAGCACTCATGAGCATTATGACACCTCAGTTAAACGTCGAAGTATTTCTGTGTATGCCTTTCTGTGACTTTCTGACTTGCCCAAGTCCAGAGGTGAATTCTGAGTAGCGCAAAGATCTGCTGTGTCCTGAGCTGGGCGATTATCCAAATCATGTTTGTTTCTCTCCATTATTTTAGACTTCATTCTTCTTTTTGTTGAGCTACAAAATGGACATTGAAAACATAACAGCAATTTTTAAATTGTAAGCAGAAAAACTACTGTGTTTTTTTTTTTAAGCACGGATAACAATTTTTTTGTCACTGAAGAACATTTTGGTTTTTTTTCTTTTAATTCCAGTTAGTGAAGAAATTAAGCTTATGCTAACTATGGCAATGTAATCGGTTGACAGTATCATCTGAATTGTGAAGTCAGTGTCATTCATACATCACTAAATCATCATTTGTCACATCTCCATATGGACAACTTACTATCAATTTTAAATATTTCAAGATTACTGTATGTACCTGAATCAAACTGCAGTAAATAACAGAAAATTACAGCACAGGAAATCAAGATTAGGCAGTTCTCTGATTTATTTTCAAGTGTTGAACAAATGGAGAAAAAAAAATACCACTCAGCATCGTGAACTGTATTGTTCCATACTTACCTCCCCCTTCCTTCCTCCCCCCGGAAAAAAAGAATTATGAAGGTTCTTGTAGCTGGTTGAGATTACTGCATGTTGGAAAATTAAAAAGGTCAAATGATAGTGAATACTTACCGATAATTGTCCAGACCCAGCCCTCTTTGTTTCCATTTCAGTTCTTTATTATTTACATTTGTCTGTCTTTTTATAAAGCTTTATGCAAAAGGAAATGGCGACATTAAACTGAAAACTGAGTTCTTGAATAAACTTTATACATTTTGAAAAATCTGCTTCTCCTTTTGTGTTTAGATGAAACTCACCTTAAATGGATGCTAGCATTTTTGAAACACGGTTATCTTCTCAAGACTCCAAGAATGTGAAATGTACTATTTGAAAATAGGAGTAGTGATTCTTGGCCACAACTTCCCAGCATTTAGGCTATGCTTTACAGTGAGGCTTCACTGAGCCTAACCTAGAGTTTCTTTGTCTTCATCTGTAAGTGGTAAAAGTAAGCAAAACACTGTGCCAGTTCTACTGAATTAAAACACCTTGAAAGCAAAGCAAAGAAAGGCAAACAGGTTTGGTAAAAAATAACAACTCAGTCACAAAAATATCTTCCTGAAATGAAAACATCCACTTTGGCTATCAAGTTTATTTTTAAACTATTACTTTTGACAGTGTGCCAAAGTAGCAATCCAGCCATCCTCAAAGTATTCAGTAATACGAAATCTTAAAGTTGGTACTGCCCTTTTTTACTTTAAATGTAACAATTACAATTTATTTCATTGAAATATCACTTAAAGCAACACAAGTACCAACTGAATGCAGACAATATATTAGTATTTTTTAAATAAATCCTACTTTTCAAAGCAACACTGCAGTTTTATTTTGATAACGATTTGAATACTAATATTCAAAAATCTGTTTTCTTTATTAAAAAGTATTTTTCTTGTCACTGATGCAAGTGTAAAATCCTTTTTCAAACAGGTGCTAATGCTGTTGAGAAGAAACTTCTGAAACTTTCACACAAAGATATATAGCAACATATCTGTCAAGAATCTACCACCAAAGTTCCTTGGATTTAAGCTACTGATTGACAGTTCAGTTGGTTTCCTGTAGCAAGGTACCCTTCCTATACCTCAAAACTGTAATCCTGTAGTACAGGACTACTATAGCTGCTTTCAAAAGCCCACAAGGTGTATGTGGATGTACACTTGGCTGAAAATAGCTTTTGGCTCATGTGAGTTTGTGTAACCTGCAGAATTACTTGTAGAATATATTTTTTGTGAAACCTACACAGGCTGTTCCAAAAGTCATAGAATCAGAAAATTGTTTTGAGTTAGAAGGGACTATTGAAGATCTTCTATTACAACTCCCCTGCAATGAACACAGACACCTACCGCTATATCAGGGTATCTCCTGGGATGGGGCATCCACCACCTCTCTGGGCAGCCTGTGCCAGTGCCTCACCACCCTTAGTGTAAAAAAATTTGTCTTATGTCCAGTCTAAACCTCCCCTCTTTTAGTTGGAAACCATTTCCCCTTGTCCTACCACAAAAGAACCTGCTAAAGGGTCTGTGCTTCCTTCTGATAGCACCCTTTAAATACTAAAGTCATTAAAGTAATGGCTCGTTGTATCATGTTGTCCCCCAACATCAGAGGCGGATATTGGTGGTGTGGCAGTGCAGGTTGAACCTTCCCACCAATATTCCATTACATTTGTTGCTGTGTGACAGATGGCAGCAAGGGACGGTCTGTCAGAATGGCATCTGACATGGAAGTTCTGATGAAGCGAAGGTGTGTCATTGACGTTCCTCCACCTAGAAACGTCACCCACTGACATTCATTGATGCTTGGTGAACATTTATGGAGACCAAGTAGTGGATGCGAGCACAGTGAGGTTGTGTGTGTGCCATTTCAGCAGTGGTGACAGCAGGTCACTGCCACTGGTACAGGTTTACACAAGTGCAGCATGCAGGCTCTTGTTCATCACTAGCAAAAAAGCATAGCTCGTGGTGGTGATTATGTTGAAAAATAGTGTTTTGTATTTGAGAATTTGCTCTATGAAACGGTGTTTTTGTGTTCTTTGTATCTGTTGTGGTTTCCATCAAAATCTGCAGGAAGCATTACTCTTAGGGTAATGTACATATCTGCTAACATTTAATTCTATCCTTACTAAGAATCACCACACAATACTGCTCAAGGCATCCAAGCCAACCTTAGGTGTGTTATTGCACATTTCTCAATGTTCCCCAGTAGAACCAAAAGGAAGCACAATTTTTTTTGTTGTTGTTTTGCCTTTTAAAATGCCCTGAAGAGACCCACTTCTATCACATTAGGGTTTCCATAAGGCCCTTTTATTTAGACTAGCTGTCACAATGAGTAAAGCAAATGAAATTGGAAACTTCCAATTCAGTCATCCTCTCTTCCACATCTTTCTGGATCCATATGAAAATTTTGTTGAAACTTACAGATGGCATCAAACCATCAATAAAATAATTTTTCCGCTATTCAGCTTTTCTTGCTCATCTTCTTTCAACATTTAAACTTAATTCAGACCAGTTAGATTCCTAAGATCTGAGATGATTTTCTTTGTAACAGCTTCAGCACCTTAACACACCCATTGTAACTAACACAGTAGCTTAGCAGTTCTGCATAGCCATTTTAAAGGCTCATAATATTGGTAGAGCTTACAAAACACAGTCCTGTACCTTAAAGGTTTCCTTTCTCAAAGCTTGACCTAAAAATGGAAAAGGTGTTCACGCAGCTCATCTGTTTGTTTTTTTTCCAAACCATTCTGCCATCTTATGTTTTATGTCCATGTAAACTGGAAAACATACTGAGAACTGTTTCCTCTTGTTATTATTAAATTTATCCTGAAAATAATTCATCCGACTCAATATACCAAGTAACAAAAAGCCAGAAAGGAATGTTTTTAAAAATGTAGGGTATAAACTAGATTGATTTATTTCACGGCACACAAAAGTCTGTGGTTCACTTACATGCTATTTATTGGGGGAAAAAAAGGCAAAATGTACAATTTCTTGAGAAATTATTAAAGCCATTGCAAGAAAAAATGCATCTTTCCTTTTTAATATTAGTATTTGTACAGTTGTTTAGAATTAGTTTAAAAGAGATGGTGTATTATATAATACAAAGCTTGAAACAATAGGCAAATTTACTTTATAAAACCAAGACACATCAGACTGAAGTATGTTTGCATTTTTATTAAAATTACGGCACTTAATATTGAATAGCAAAAATAATGACAGGGCTTTCCAACCAGAAGCAGCATCGTTTTCCAAACATCCAATTTCTTCCCGCTACCATTAATTGCAAGCTTTTCATAATTTTTCAGAGAATAAGCCCTTTTTAATTTGCAAAAAAAAAAAAAAGCAATGAAGCTTTTGTTGTGGCTTTTTCTTTTGACTTAAAACATTGTCAACAAACAGCTGTCTCAGCCCTGCAAGCTCGCTTGTCTATTTTTCTTTGCATTCTCTAAGTTAAATTACAGTTTCACTGTGCTGCCAAGTGAACAGTACTAACAGCAGGTCACTGGAAAGTGATGAACATGTTAAATATTGCCGATCCAGCAAAGAAAAAGCCTTCTTTTTAGCATTATCCTTCATTTTAACATTAACTTTTTTTTTCTTTCTTTTTTCTTTTTTTCTTTTTTTACAAATAGCTAATGTTGAACGTACTGCATGGTATTCCCAGAAGTAGTATAAACCATAAAAGAAAGAGTGTGAACTAAACACTAGGCTTCTTTACAGCTGTAGTGAACTACAAAATGAAAGCATTACATTTCAGTACCTTTAAATACGTAACCAAAACAAACAAACAAAAATCAGTGTTCAGTGTACACCAAAAATGTGGCACTGAATTATACTATTATCAATGTTTGTGGAAAAATATATGTATATATGTACACACACAAAGGCATATACAGGAAAGAATGAAACCCAAGCATTTCAACATCAGAAAACTGAGTTTGGTGTGTGGTTTTGAAAAAAAAAAAAAAAAATCATAAAACAACAGTGTACAATAATGGCCACCATGTTGTATCAGCCACATGCATTTTTTTTCATTAAACAAAAGATGACAGATTCTAGAAAAAAAAAAGTAAATTAAATAATTATTTTACAATAAAGTAAATGCAATCAATGCATGACATGGAGTTTCACGTTAAGTCAAGTATCATCATTCAGGATTATAACAGCGCACCAATTCACCGGTACTAGACAATCCTTTATATGTTTACAAGGTGATGCTGCAGCAAACCTATAATCAGATCCAGCTGATAAAAGTATTACTATAGCTGAAATGAATGTCCACAGAACACAAAAGAAAACAGAAATGATTTGGAGCGTTATCTCCAAAGTTTTTTAGTTTTCATCCCACCTCACATTCCCTAGTACGTCCAGTCTTGGGATTAGTACATTGAACAACGATATTACCTTCTTGGAAACATAGCATTAAATGAAATAAAATCTAAGAAGGAGTTACAATTACAGAACCATCTAACAGAAAGCTAAGCTTTGGTTATATAAAGTGCAGTTCAGTAATATGCCGATTAATCACAATAATGTACATACAGTTGATTTTTGCACTGTTTCCTTGGAAATTTTAAAAAATATGATTTACAGTTTGCTTGTACAGCAGGCTCAGTTTAAAAAAAAATCTTGTTTAAATAAATTTAAATTCTAAACATTTCACTACCATCCACTTCTGTGCACCATATTTCTAAACTGCTTTGCAATATTTAACCCCTTGGATGTTTAGTAATCAGCTCGATCACATTTGTGTCTCATCACATAAAATACCTAAGCTCTGACAATAGTCTTCAAATCCCTTATACTTTTTGTTGTATAAAGTTTTCAAGTTTTATTATGATACAAGCAGTACATTCCATCACTCTCATAGCAACTTCTGAAGTAAACCTATCATTTGGAATCTGTGGAAAAGGAAGCAAGTCAGGATATCTAGTTTTTAAGCTATCTACTCCATAAGCTTCCAAAGTTTGAACATCGTTGGCAAGCCCTTCAAGTTGTTGACTATATTCTTCTATTTTCTGTGCAAGGGCTGCTGGTTTTACATCTTTGTCTGATTTTCCCTTCACAGCATAGTCAGCAGCAATCAAGGCTAGCTTAGTAGAAAGGTAACACTTAAAGCATACCCATTCATTGGCATTTTTATGAAGATCATTTCTTGCAGCTGAAAAGTTAGCTCGGGCCTGTCTAAGCCATCGACGTGCCTCGACAGGATTGCCAACAGACCTGAATGTGG